GAAATGGGCCTCTATACAACAATGTAGATACCAGACATTTGCAGCTAGAATAGTCATTTACCACATTAACAATGTATAGAGTGTATTTCTTTAAAGTTAAGACTAGTTTAAAGTTATCTTCATTGAAAAGTACAGTGCTTTTCCTTCAAAACTAAGGACATTTCAATGTGACCCCAAACTTTTGAACGGTAGTGTATGTTTCATTTCCATTTAATTATTTTGTGATTTCTTTTGATATTTATTCAAGAGCATTTGTAAGAGTGCATACATAAGAGTTGATGTAACGCATTGCATTTTGTTGTTGATAGTGTCCAAAAATGTCTCCAAATGATAAATTATTCTTTCTTCGCAAAACTTTGTGGGGAAACTTATTGTTCAGCAACATCTGTTACCATGAAAGTTCTAAATGTACACTGTGCTAATTTATTATAATCTGCATGGCTATACAGCGCCACATGCCTCTTCACAGCAGTAATACCATTCCTTTTTACAAAACAAGAAGGACATGGACTTATTTCAAATCACTATCATCTATCAGGTTGAGACAAAACATCATGACTTGGCTCTACAGAGTAGGTCAAATAGAAAAACTTAACCTTCTGTATATAGCCTTCAGTATACTTACAGTGTAGACAATGATATCTTGATCATAGTTAAAAATTTTGTCTTCTTTGCGGCGGACTGAGATATTGAGAAACTCCCACTCATACTTCATCTGGATTGTATTCATAGACAAATTGGTATTAAATTCATTTTTTGTAATGGGATCAAGGGTTAATTGGTAATCTGGGATTGAAAAACAGAAAACAACAGATTAAATTATTGAAAAATAGATTGAGGATACATTATCCAATTCCAACACAGATGGTCTAGCTGTAGACCTGCACTGGAAGGTCTCCTGTGCTGTCAGAACCGGAAGTCTATTCACAGCCTTTCAAAGTAAAAGCAATGTTGATTCAAAGCCATTCTAAAATAAAAGCTAGTATAACGGAAACATTTTATGTTCCATTGCTTATTTCCTGCATGTTCCTAATAGAAATATGTTTGTCTATTCATATGTTTAATAATTAGAAGCACAAGAAAAAGCATGGCATGCAGCGTTTAACTTTTGGCGAAGTGCCAGCAGGAGTCACAATTGAAACATGCATCTGTAACAGACACTTATTGCTGTAATAAGTTAAAGAAAAGTGACAGAAAATTATATGAAAAAACGGTTATCTCAGTGCCTACACAACAAGTCTGAAGAGCCTTAGGCTGAAGATTCCATGCCAGACCAGTCTGAGTCATCATTGGGTTGAAACATCTCTTCATCCTTCTTGACAATGGCAACCACCAAAGCGGCTACAAGATTTGAAATTGGGAAAGGTATTGATTTTGGTAGTCCAGGCATTGTTTCAAGGTTTTTCTAATGCATACTCAGATGCTCTAAGTAGCGCCCCTGCAGCAGACATTTCTCATTGTAAGACCTGTAGTTCCCATGCAACGGGGACATGCATGAACTAAGTAGGGAGGGTGTAACCAAGCTGTCTTAGGCTTCCCCCTCTCTAATTTGCCCTTTTCTCCATACATGCACTAAGTCCAAAATCTTGCGAGGCTTGCCGCAATATGTTCCCACGAGACTTCCGATGAGAGGTAACAAGTATGGCTGCACACTGATGTGTTTTAGTTAGTGTGGAGCTGATGACTGTATGGAGCTGCTGCAGCTTTTATATGCCCCTACCATTGAAAAGTCCATGTATGTTTGAGCCTTGTGAAACTCACTAAAAACGGAACTGACCATGTTCCCATTTTCCCATTCATTGGGTGGCTTGCTAGAAGTAGCAGTTATGTCTTAGCCGGAAAGAAGCCAACTGCAACTTCCATCAGTGCGAGAGGAGACACTGCAGCTCTCTTCCCCCAACCAACACTGCATCCATATACCAACACTGCAATAATCATTGATCACTTCTCAAAACCAAACTTTTGGGACAATTAAATAGCCTTTTGGGGCTATATGAACTGGAGACTGCAAACCATGCAGAATAGAACTGACTATCTGACCCTATTGTGTACAATTGTAAATTTGTAAATATTTTATCCTTTGCACATATTACACAATCTTGCATTTAAATACAGTGTGGAGTCCTATTAAGCATACATTCAACCTGCTCTCAGAGCTGAACTTAGACCTTCTGATTACAGCTCTATTTTGTATGTTTCTTATCTGCAATTACCTTTATATGCTACATCTGGTTGAATTGTAAAGTGCCTTGAGATAACATGTGCTGTGAATTGGCTCCATATAAATTAACTGAATTTAATTGAATTTAGGTGAGCACTCACCTCACAAAAACAATATGTCTTCCTCTTCTTATAAAATCCGGCGGTACATAAGTGCTATTCCCTATTCCTAAAGGCTTCAGTTAGGAGGCTGCTGGGATAAACTTCCGGTCCTAACAGTACACGACACCCCATTGTGCAGGTCTACAACGAAGTGTTCCGACAGCCCCCATTTAAAAAAATTGTAAGTAATGGACAACAGGCAGAATAATTATTTGGACCCATTCCTGTTCAGTAAAAAACACTTGATATTTTTCAGTAGATAAAAATAACTTAAAATACATTTAGTTTGAAAGGTTGCAGTGTTGAAGTGCTAACTTAGGGCTTACCAGCATACGAGACAGACTTAAAGGAAATATTGCAGCTCTGAGTGTCAAAGGGGAAGTAATAAATATGCATCTTGCAGGTGGTCTTCACAACTTTATCATCCCTGTATCCTACAGTCCCATTATGAGCAACGTAGAGAAAAGGGCTTATTGGGGCTTTATCCTTTTCTATCCTGTTGGAGAATAGAAAGCTGTTCAAACTGTTCAGTCAATCAGCTCTTTTCCACCATAACATAACTTGAGCTTTTAACTGATTAATTTAAACATAAATTGGGTTTATGAAAGACAGAAATTTAGCAGTATATGTTCAAACAGAGGTAAAATGAAAGATAAACAGAATTTTAAAAAGTAAGTAAAAAGTGAAGCAAAATTATTTGTGACATATTTTTAGCAGTAGGTAAAAATTATTCACTCTACTTATTAGTGGCTCACACGGCCTGAACATGCATTATGTAGTTGTTGAAATGTGTGATGCAAAAGAGGAAAAGATGTTTGAAATATTAAGTTTGGATGTTTGAAGACAACAGTTTTATTTATCTCTTTATTCAATATTTCAATCAGATTTTATATTTCCATTTTAACAGTTACAACGTTCAAGCAGACAGACTCACATTTCTTCAATAGTGATGTCAGGCATCCATAAAGCTTCGCGTGGAACTTGTACATATTCTATGCCACAAAAGTCCTCTAAGTTCCAGTGAATATATTCATTATTCCATTCCTTATGAAGGGAAATAGAAATAGAAGTCAGTGATAAAAAATAAAATCAGCTTTCTAATCAACCCAAAGCTTTTTTTTTAGTGTGTTTTCTGAGGAATGCTAAACTTTTCTGAGAAAACTTACCATTAAAAACCAAACATATGCTATGAAGGATTGATCTTCTTCTTTCTGTAAAGAGAAATGTATGGAAATCTTTTCTGTTTTTAGACAAATGACATACTGAAGGTTTTGCAGCTTATTAAAAGTGTTGAACACATAGATCTTATGATTTACACTTTAGGACTGAAAAAGGTTTAGATTTTCCCAACCAGATTTTAAGTTACATGTAGGGGATATTACATTCCTGATTGCGTATATATCCAAGCCACTATTTAGATCACAGAGTTGATTATCAATACAGAATAAGATCTACTATACACCTATATATGAGTCGCTAATATAAGAAGAGTTGAACCACAACAATTATTACTTTAAATAAGAAACTTAAAACAATTATCATTATATGATAGTTAGAGAGCTACATATAAAGCAAATAGTCTAAGCCTAAAAAACGAAATCAGTGTTAAATTAAAACAAAACCATAAAAACTTCATGTTGAAGAGAGAGGAAATTACCAGATCCAGAATGGAAAAGATAGCCATCTCAATGCGAACTATAGTCTTTGTTTTAGAATTTGTGACAGGTCTGGTCATGGTATACTTGGCTTTTTCCTGTGCCATACTGCCAGAAGAGAGGTTCTGCAGAATATCCCAGTAGCTGCAAATTTTTTCTAAAAGAGAGAAAGTTTATCCATATTCCATACCGCATTCGTTAGAAAAGGAAAGAGTTTATTTCTAGGATAATTGCACTATAACAAACTTTTGACTTGTCATGACAGAAGAAATGCTGGGCAAAAATTGACAGAGTAAATTAGATGAATGTATTTCTAGTTCGCATCATTGTCACGATTATGTATTAAGCGTTATTAAATATGCACAGTACAAAATCTTAAGTATTCTATAATGCACAGACATAATATTTCACAGTTCATGAATCTTTGGATTATAATTTGAATAGACATTGAAATCTTGAACCGTCAAAAGCTAAGTTGGAAACAACGAGCACAACTTAAAAAAAATCAAGAGAATAAAAGTAACTGTCAGGGTTCTGTGTTTTGCTGATTCTCTTCCACAGGTGGCTGTTGTTGACAGGTGGGCGTGGCCCCGCACCTGTGGCTCGTTGGGGCTGCTCTGGCTGAGCTTAAGAGGAGCTTTCATACAGCTGAAGGACCCCAGAGTGTTAGACCGTTGTGGTACGCCTAGGCCTCTGTCCTGTCGACAGATCTTCATTCCACTGTTGCCAACTCAGCGCCTTTGTCACTATATTTAGCGACTTTTTAGACCCCTCCAGCGATCCGTTTTCAAAAAAGCGACTAGCGATAAATCTAGCGACTTTTCTGGTGCAATTGGCGGCTTTTAGAGACTCTTAGGTGAAAGCCTGCCATAGAGAGCATTCACCAATATGACAATGTTTCTGTGAGCAGGCAAGCACAGCCTGTGTGTGTGGAGGGAAATCTCATTAGTTTAAAAACAATAATAATAATAATTACCATTATTTGCTCACATTGTCATTGATTCTTTGTAGTCTTTTTTTTGTTCCATTTAGATTGTTAATGTAATGTAAAAAATGTTATGGCTCAAAATGTTCATGTTAGACCATGATTTGTAGGCTCCTCCTGCCTGGCGTACACTGCGCGATTAGTGGACCACAAGGGGAAAAAAAGTAAAAAAGTTGAAAATAAAAATAAAGAATTGTAACTCCGCTTTAGTGTCTCTTTATGGTTCATTTTGCCGGTAAAGGAGGAGGGTTAGTATTGTAATAAAATAAACATTAATTTAAAAAAATAATAAATTAAAATAAATAAATAAACATTAATGGACAGAAAAATTAGCTCTATATATTCTGAGTGTTTTTTGTCACTCTCTAACAAGGTTATTTCTCCCACAGCGCCAATAACATGCACATCACACCTGCGGCAGATTATGCAAATTAAGAAATGACGTCATTCAGCGACTTATAGCACAGCCAGTAGCTACTTTGCTTACTGAGGAGTTGGCAACACTGCTTTGTTCCTGTTAGTTGGATATTTTGCATTCCTGGTCTTAACCTGTCTCCTGTTTCCCTCCGTTTGTTGTGCTCTGGATTACTCACCCGTCTGTCTCTGTGCTCTGAAGACTGGTCCCTGAATCCCTGCTGCTCAGATTCGGCTCTGGCTTTACCCTCATGCCCCCTCTGTGATACCGAGCCGGACAAGAGAACCCCTTTCCGGGATTCACTCTGGTTCCTTCTGCTGCTCCTCGAACCTGTCTCCGCTGTGGTGCTGCTTGGGCCCCCGCCTACGTTCCACCTGTCGCTTAGCCATCTCCTCCCATCGGGAAGCTGTTACAAAACCCTTTCCTCCACTACCCAGATCGGTTATCCGTACCTGCCGGTAAGCAAAGCAGCAACAGCGCAGATCTCCCTAACTTTCTTAGTATTAATCAGTTTCCTCTTTCCTCCTGCAGAGCCCCAAACGGCTCCCGCTGTGAACCATTCATATTTGTGTGTAGTCTAAATAAACATCTTAAACTGCTCCTGGTTCTCAGTCTGTGTCTGGCTCTGATGGAATTTTTTTTTTGTTTTGTTTTATTTGGCAAACTGTTCATTTAATTTGTGTTTTTCTGACTGTGTTGATTATTATTGCTTATTATTGCTGTGTTGATTATTATACTATTCAGTTGTTAATCAGACGTGAATATATATATATATATATATATATATTTTTTTTTTTTTTTTTTGACTTATAACTGTGGTTGGATGTCTGTTTAGAATAATCAGATAGCTTATAACTTGCGGTATTCTCATCTATCAAAAGCTATAAAAAGCCATAAAAATAAGTGTTTGCGGGTTATAAATCATTTATCACATTTTCTTTATGATTAAACGAGTCAGGAAGTTATTAATCAATAGTAAGGTATTAGAATGAGAAGTTGTAGACTTCCAATTCTCTTACATTGGGAACAAAAAAAAAAAAACAGAGGGAAAGTATGTTTCAATACAAACAGCTTTGATTCTCTCTACACAGATATACCAAACAAAAATATAAACGCAACACTTTTGGCTTTGCTACCATTTTTTATGAGATGAACTCAGAGATCTAAATCTTTAATAGTGAACACTTCTCCTTTGCTCAGATATCCATCACACCTCACAAGTGTGCCATATAAAGATGCTGATTAGACAACATGATTAGTGCACAGGTGTGCCTTAGACTGCCGACAATAAAAGGCCACATTTCATACCTGGCGAATCAACGTTGCTCTTATTGGATGTCGTCTGGTTGTCACCATCATCTTGGTAACTGGAAATGAATCCCGCTGTCAGGGTAGAAAATGTATTTAGTTTTATGCATTTATATAAATGCATATAAATATCCCATACCTCAGATGCATCTGTTTGGAATGTTATAAACACCAGATGCATTTTCTGAGTTCACAACAAACAATAGCCAGCTTTTCCTAAAGC